AGTTGGGCTGACGGTGGACTGAAAAAATCGAAGAATGACTGCCAACAGCATGAACGACGATGGTAGTCAAGGGTGAGCATCCTGCCGCCTCTCCATCGGGCTCCTACTCTCCTGCATCCGAGAATAAACTTGGCGTGCTCTTCAACCCCTCACTCAGATAACGCCATCGCTCCGGCTATTGCGTGACGTAGTCTTGCCTGTCTAACAGTACCGATGCGAGATGTCATCTCTTCCACCATCAGCACGATAGAACACGCTCTGGACTCGTGTGTTATTGGAGGTGTCAAGGTCTACAACCATGTCACCAAAGGCCGACCAGCTTGCGTGACAGGCAGCTAATGACCGATCAAGGGATATACACGAGGAGCGATAAGAGAATCTTTAGCATCGCGAGGATACTGGCAGAGCACGCCTTATCCCCTCCTTCCAACACAATCTGCTAGCTATATCTTGACCTGTAGCTCGACAGCCTGCGGACAAGTTCCGCTGATTGCAGATCACCATGTTGCATATATCTTCGTCAATGGCGACATGGCCGATGTAGTGTGCACTTTCTTTTTTTACCCCCAGCTAGGACTCTATCGCTCCTGCAACAGCCAGCACCGTTACAATGACCTCTCCCAAGCAGCGACGATGGTATCAGATGCGATGGTTCTCGGAGAATGACACCCTCGAGGACAAGAAGTTGATTCTCAAGCTGGATGCTCTGATTGTCCCGTATGCCTTTCTGTCCTACTGGACGAAATATATCGATCAAGCCAACCTGAGTCAGTTCGCCGCATCACCCCGCAAATCAGGACTGACTTTTTCGATTCCTGCCTTTAGACAATGCCTATGTATCGGGAATGCAAGAAGAGATCGGTCTCGGTGGGGATGACTTGGTGAACCTCCAGACGATATACACAGTGGGCGCGGTGGTTGGCCAGCTCCCATTTGCATATCTCTTTACGCGAGTGCCCATCTCATGGCTGATCCCGATCATGGACATCGCCTGGGGCATCTTCACTCTCCTCCAATACCGGGCTACATCGTACAGCGAGATGATGGCCTACCGATTTCTGGTGGGATGGTTCGAGGTAGGTACCCCCGTACCCCCATAAGCGGCGATTGGCATCTGACGTTCATCGGCGATCAGGCGGCGTTCTTCCCCGGAATGCATTACATCTTTGGGGCCTGGTATCGCGGAGACGAGATCGCTCGTCGTGGGGGCTGCTTCTATGTTGGTCTGACACTGGGCACCCTCACAGCCAGCCTCATCCAGGCCGGTGCTTCCTCGCGCCTGGATGGGGTGTCCGGCCTTGCCGGGTGGCGATGGATGTTCATCATCTGCGCGATCATCACCATCCCTATTGGCATCTTGGGATTTTTCGTCCTACCCGGGACTCCCGACAAACCCAACCGACTGATTCTTCGGCAAGAAGACATCCAGCGTGGGCGTGAACGACTCGAGCGCACCGGTCATCGGTTCACCTCGTCCGGTTTCTCCACCCTTCAAACCTGCCGTTCACTCCTGAAGAACCAGAAATTCTACATTTTCCTTGTCCTAGACGTCCTTTTCTGGAATGCGGGCCTCCACGCCTCCGCAGGGGGGTATCTCCTGTGGCTGAAATCGCTCCAACGCTTCAGCACGGCCACCCTGAACAATCTCTCCGCTATTGCCCCCGCCCTCGGTATCTTCTATACTCTGTTTGTCTGCTTTCTATCAGACCTCTGTTTGGGTCCGGCGTGGGCCATTGTCCTAGCTCACACGTGGAACAGCCTGGGGCTGATCATTCTCACGATCTGGGAGGTGCCCGAGTCGGCCAAGTGGTTCGCGTTCTCAACGATCTATGCGTGTGTGGCCATGTCGAGCGTGCTGTACGGGTGGGTCAACACCGAGCTCCGGTATTCCCCGCAGGAACGAGCCGTGGTCCTGGTGGTCATCAATGCGGTCTCGCAGTCCACGACTGCCTGGACACCATTACTGGTATTTCCGACCGTGGAGGGGCCGCGATTCACCAAGGGTTATGCATTCACCTTGGGGTCTGCGCTGGCATTGATAGTGGGGACGATTGGGGTCTGGGCCGTTTTTCGGAAGAAGGCGATAGTCAGTAATGGAGAGGAGGAGGAGGAGATAGTCGTGGTGCAGGGGAAGCGGGATGGCAAGACTGAGGACGTTGAGCAGTAGCGATTCCCAATTTGTACATATGCGCATATGTACTGTACATAACTCGCAACAAAAAGCAGGAAACCCAGTGAAAAGAAAAGATGGGGCAAGCCAGGGTCGAACGGGTCGCCTCCCAGTCCTCAGTCTCACGCAACAGGCCCTAACTTACCCGCCTCGCTTGATGCCTCGCTTGATGCCTCCACTTTCAGCCTCGCTACTGGATGACCCGCTAGAGCTGATATGGACAATAAAAAGCGAATGTTCAAAAAAGAAACGTTGGGGCAAGCCGGGCTTGAACCGGCCACCTCCAGATCTTCAGTCTGACGCGCTCCCAGATGCGCCATTGCCCCATTTCATGCTGCGTTGAAAAGATACTGTGCTTTATGAGCAAGTAAGAACGTTTTACAGATTCCACGCACTTATTGGTCCGGGCACAGCGCCGTAGAAGACCAGTGATGTCTGCTGTGGTTGTACGCGATGGACCAAGCCCGTAATTGACCGGTGTACTCGGACCCCTAAGTAGCCATGAGAATTCATACCGAATCTCCTACCACGCCCCAGTTGCGCCATGGACCCATAGATCATGTCAGCTAGCCCTTGCTTGTTACCATATACTGTCCATATTGTCCATACCTACAAGATTCGACAAGATGGAACTTCTGCAGGATGTTCAACATCTTCGTGACTGCTTTTTCATCGCCGTGGATTACTGCGTCTTCCTTTGAAATTACTAGTTTTGCTCTGTCTGTCCCCCTTGCCCTCATTCACAAAGGCAGGTATTCATGCACCCGCTGCCAATTATTTTGCACCGGATCCCGCCGATTCCGTACAAACCGCATCCCCGTCACTTCGTTGCTGGAATCATCGCAATTCATTACACCCTCTTGCATGGTTCGCGGCGACGAGCTCCCGTCCTGACGCACGACATTAATCGGTCCGATTCGCGCTTCTTCCGGAATGTCTGCCAGCGCCAGTTGGGCATCATTGTCCGAAGTAGCCACAAGCCTGCCCTGTTCCCGGGGTGAAATATGGCCATGGATGCGACCCTCAGCGCCTTGGTCCCAGACCATCGCTGCGGAAGACTGAGGCCTACTCGCGGGTCTCAGAGCCATCGCGTTTCCTTCTTCTAACATAATAATGTTTTCTGCAAAACTAACGGCCGCCGTAGCACGGTAGAAGCCCATCACCGGCGGCGCTTGACGGAGTAACTCGACTGCGGCGCGTCGAATGCGCGGCTCACGACATCGGAGGCTCGTGAACCACAGGGGTAATCCAACACCAAGATCAAATGTGAATGGTGGCTGTGTGCCGTCACGTCGCCTGGACGCGTCGAGAGCAAGGCCACATTGGTTGATAATGATCTGGAAGTCCTCCAGGCATTGATCCGCCATGGTTTGGAGTGAGGATACGCAAATGGTCGCTAGAATAATGGTGGTCTTGTGGTACGCGATGAGAAGCGCGCTGTTGACCACCTGGTGTTGGGAGAGTGGCCCTTTGTCATGGAGCGAATCCAGAAGCCTCTTGAACGCGACGTCCCACTCTTTCAATCGCTCGAAAAATATCGCCTGTGTGTGAAGCAACCCTTCGCTAACATGAAAGCAATCCGCCCGCGATAGCTCGGCCAGACACTGGCGCTCGAAGAGCATGGTTTCTGCCCCTAGACTAGTGAGAGCTTCGCGGGCGCATCTCAAGGATGCGAATTCAGCCGACCATACTGGGGTACAAGCTCTCAGTAGACTGTCCATCCGAGTGGCCGAATCACTAAAAGCGATCACTCCGAGCCGAATGAAGATCGGGACAATCACATCCTCCAGCAAAACTGCCTTGGAGGGTGGAATCACGCCAGATGAGACTTGGACGCGCAGAGCCTGGATGAGCTGTAACCCTTGCATGAACAGCTGCAGGGCTTCTTTTTCGCGCCCCTGCAGGGTCTCAATGCAAATGAAGAGAACGCAAGTAATCAGTCCGACAAAGATATCGACCTGACCGCGCTCGATGCGCTGACGAATAGCCGAGACGGAGCGCGAGTACCAGGCCAAGGCATCACCCTGCGGTTGGTCAATGGGCGGCACGGAGACCAGACTTGTTGGTTGATCGTGCGTCTCGAACAGGGCACTGATAGAGATGATGGCATCCCACACGGCCGGCTCTCCCTGACACAGCTGAGGCACGAAAGTCCCCCAGAATTCGACATCCAGATCACCCCCGACAAATAGGGCCACGCGTTCGAAGTAGTAGGCAAAAGCACGACGTTCTCTCCAGACGGTGTTGGGGGCAAACGCCAGGGGATGATCGAGGGCTGCGGTGGAAGGAGGCGATGCGGAGGAGAAGGTGCCCGCCACAGCCTTGACGTACTCGCATTTGCGACCGGTGCTGCTGCATCGAAGACAGTAGGGCTTTTCTTGTCCACATTTGACTCGACGGATTCTATTACAACATTGCTTAACTTCCGGATCGTGACAGGCATTAGGGCGGAAGGTAGACCCCACTTGCAAGTTTTGCACCCCAGTCGGGATCTCAGGGGCAGGCCGATTCCTGCATCCCCACTGTAACGGGAAGCGGATTCCGGGGACATGTTCACAGACACACCGGCTGAAGCATATGGATGGTTGAGTCACTTCCAAGGACCTGATGAGAAGAAAACCCCCAACACTTGATGTTGCCAACTAGATAATTGAGTCGATATGTATTTCCTGCCGATCAGGGGCTGCCAATGGATGCGTCAGCACATCACATGAGAGTACTTGGCAACTATGCCCATCTAGGCAGCGGACTAGATCGCAGAGCATTATTGCACACAGAGTGTTTGTATCTATAGACAGTACAGAACATCCTATACAGAAATAACCATCAATCACTCGCACACAACCTCACTGCTCAAGAACGTCGCATCCACCTCAAAGCACTGAGTGGTGCTGTTGACTCCGTACTCGCCATACAAGGACTCTTCAGTACATCCCGTGGCGGTGTAAACTTTCAAGACGGGCGAGGTCGTGCTATCATCACAGCTACCGGAGTAGACATGCGCAGAGAAAGACTTCAACGGCAGACCCTGAGCTGGTCCGCAGCCACCGGAGATGACGTTGGCGGACTCAATGCTCGGGGAAACGCAGTCGGCAAGGTAGTAGCCGCTGAACGCCACGTCGATGGTGGCAGCAGCAGTGGCCACGAGGGCGGAAATGAGGGCGAGGACCTGACATGGTCAGTCGAAGACTGGCAAAACACTCGGTGTCACTAACCTTGAACTGCATATCGGCGAGGACGCTGTGGTTGATAGATAGGTTGAAATCCAAAGATCTGAATGCTGAGCAAAAAAGCTGGTTGCTGGATAGGGAGAACCAGACAGGGGTGGAATTGAGTTTATAACGTCGTCAAGTGCAGCCGAGCAACTACAGAAGACCATGAGAGGATGCTTGGACCGTTGGTAGTACAACTGTTTACCGTGTAGATTGTAGACTAACCCCGAGTGCCAAGACCGCTCCTTAAGCGAGATCTTATCAGATCCATATTCCTAACATGGCAATCTTGCCCGGATGCCAGCAGCACTTCGTGACTCGTTTCTATCCCCGATCCTTTGCCAAGCATTCCTGCTCGTATCGCTTACGAGTCACTGGGCTGATTGAGCGGGCAAGGGAGGGTGTTCGACACAAGCACTAATCTACAGGTTGAACCAGCTTGCCTCATTGCAGATAAGCTCACACTACTAGACTTGTATACTTGGCAGGACAATTGCCCCCTCGTATCCAGAGGCTCCACAGCTTTACCCTGCCGGAAGTATACTTATCCGTGTTGTGGCTACACCACTCATTTCATCGGTACAGATACGCATTGGATCAGCCAACGATGATCCAGCAGAAGCTTTATTGCACTACTGTAGTCTATTTAGCACTGATCGCGATTCAACACTATCTAAGGATGCAAAGTCACGACTTTCGTCTGGACAAATTCCTCTAACCCCCACCGAGCACCGAACCGACCCCATCCGCTATCCCCGTACCCTCCGTGCGGCAAAGTCGGTTCATCATGCACCGTCATAGAGTTGATATGCACCGCCCCGGCCTTGATAGATCCCGCGAGTTCCAGAGCGCGATAGTGGTTTCTTGAGATAATCGAACTAGACAAGCCGTACTTGGCTTCCTGGATGACAGAGACAATCTGTTCTTCGGTCTCCAGTGAAACGATCCCGACGACTGGTCCAAAGGACTCGATCTCGTACAGTTTCATCTCCGGAGTCAATCCCGTTACCACGGTCGGAGGAAAGCTCTGCGGGGTATGGCCAACGGCCCTAGGGGCAGTGTGGATTCCAGCGCCCTTGTCCTGTGCGTCAGACACCAGCATCTCCAACTTGGCTTTCGCGGCCGGAGAGATGACCATCGGTGCTGTCTCAATCTCCTGCAGGATGGCCAGAATCTTCGCCTCGAGAGCCGGGGCCACCGCAGTCGTGGCCAAGACCATGTCCGTGGACATGCAGATTTGACCGTTCTGGGTCTGCGTTAGTAGCGTTCCACGCAAGCAGAGAGAGTGACTTACATTAAGGAAGGCGCCTTTCGTGACCTCTCTGGCCGCCAGGTCCAGATCAGCATCGTCGAGCACTACCGTAAAGTTCTTGCCTCCGAGCTCCAACAACACCGGCTTCAGTGCCATGGCGGCCTGGGATGCAATAATCCGGCCGACCTGCGTCGAGCCGGTGAAGTTACATTTCTTGATGGCCGGGTGGTTGATGAGAGCGTCGAAGATCTCCGGGGCGTCGTCTGGGCGATGGAGCAGGAAATTCAGAACGCCGGGTGGGAAGCCAGCCTCGCGGAACAGGGAGGCCAGGAGGTAGTGAGTATGCGGGCTAAGCTCGGAGCCCTAATATCTGGCGTCAGCCACCGGAATGTACTGCACACCTTCACTTTCATCTCTCAAGGAAGCCTACCTTCAAAATGGCGACATTCCCTGCCGCGATGGGGGCCACTACCGACCGAAGGCCCAGGATAATCGGTGCGTTCCAGGGGGCGATCCCCAGCACCACTCCCAGTGGCTCTTTCAGGACCATGCCGTAGCCTTGCTGAATGTACGGTATCGACCCGGTTGCCACACTGGTGGTGAGCGCAGCGTACTCTTCAATCAGACCAATGCTGTCGTTCGTGATGATGTCCGCCCACAGCGGTCCGCAGTGGATTTCCTGACAACACACGCTTTTGATCTCATCGGCCCGGTCTCTCAGGATCTGAGCTAGTTTGAATAACAGGGTTCGACGCTCAATTGGGGTTGTCTTGGACCACGTTGTGAATGCTCTAGCACTGGATTGCGCAGCTTGGAGGGCGAGGTCTCTGGTAGCACCCTGGTAGGAAACGGGACCCCCGGGGTATTGGTTGGCAACGGTGCCTTGTCTCTCTTTGAGAGAGCATCGGATGTCTTGACCGTCGATGATGAGTGGGACGGTATCCTGTGACTCCATTTTGAACGAGACTGACTTTGTCCGGTCTGAGGCAATATTCTCCACTCAGTTCGAAGGCAGGGACCGACCGGGGAAAGTTGCAGGCTGAGGGTGAAAAGCTGGGGCTGGGGCTAGGGCTGGGGGCACGCGGGGAAGGACTATAAGATGAAGGAGATACGGATATACGGATCCATGACATCCTCCAGATTCAGTGGAGCCGAAACTCAGTTTTCCCTCTTGAACTGCCGATTCACCATTCCGAACCATGACCTCGACTTAGTCAGCGGACTTTCCGCTTTCTTTGTCTTATTAACACAGTTATGAAGCCTTTTCAGAAAATTGAAATGCGCCAGTTGGGACAAAGCATTCGAGTCGGAAGCTGCGGACTCGGTTCAATTCCGAGAGCCAGCCTCCACCGGGGAGTGGACGGAAGAGCAAGAAAGACCCTGAGAGTGCAACCTGCGTGCTTTGGTAGATTGTGGGGCTGCAATCTTTACGGTATCCATGCTAACAATCTAGCCAAGTTTCTTGGTGGTGAGTGAGTAGGTGGATGGCCCCTGCCCTAAGATATATACTATGTACTTTTGCGGTAGGTCGACAACCGCACTTTCCGTCGGGCTCAGTTTGAGTACTATGGTTAATGTAGATCCTTGGGACACCCAAATTCCACTACTCTAGAACAAATACCTCTGTCTCCTCGTGTGGAAGCCAGGGTGATATGTCAGAAGCCATGGTGGCCACCGTGGTCTAGACTGGTTTTTGCGGCGAATCCGAGGTGGATCGATCCATCGATCAGCTGGATGATCCCCCCCTGTCTCTCTCAGTCCCGCTGCATCTGGGTAAAACCAAGCGACGCGACTCCGTACCATGAATTAAAATTCCCTCTAGCCCCTTGGTCCAGGAAAAAAGAAAGATCTTCTTGATCAGCAGGCATTGTCATTCGTTCTACTTCATGCCACCATGATGCTACCAGGTTCAGTATGGGCGCTGCTGCTGCTGCTTCTTCTGTGCCAGGGGATTGTGGCCCGGGTTGTGGCCAGCGACTTCACCGCCTCGGATGACTCAGACTTGATGGTGTTTCGGACCGTGGGTTCCTCCGTCAAGCTATGACTAAGACCTGACTAATGGGGCCACCCAGTTACCGCAGCATCGCATCCCCAAATGGAACGTCACGCATTATCATCGCAATGCCACAGCCCCTGGCTACTGGTTTGTCGCCCCCTACTGGGTCACCGTGGGAGAACCCTACACCACACGATGGATGCCCTATCAGGTCGGTCCCTACATCTATGACCAGGACGGCGATCTGGTCTGGACCGGGGCTGCATACACCGACAATCAAAACGCCTTCGATCTGCGCGTCGTGACCAATCCACCCCCCGGCAAGCCCCAGCTGTCCCTGATGGTGCAGACCGGGCTGGGGGTGGATCTGGAATTTGCTAATGGCACCGTCCTCGACCACCAGTATCGCCAAGTGGCCAGCACCCCCGTCTTCGACAAGCACGAGTTCTACGTCTACGCTCCTCACAAAGCGCTGGCCATCCATCAGTGGCCCAAGGTCGTGGACCTGGCCGAGATCGGCCTGCCGGGGGTCTCCCGCGAGATCAAATTCCAGGGCTTTCGCGACGTCGATTACACCACCGGCCACGTCTTCTTCGAATGGAACTCGGAGGGGAGAATCCCGCTCCACGAGACCTTTGTCGACATCACCGTCGGAACTCCTCCCCGTGGCGCCGACTACATCCACTGCAATGCGATCGAAAAGACCAAATACGGGGATTACCTGATGTCGTGTCGCCACTCGAGCACCATTTACTTGATATCCGGACAGGACGGGGCCATTCTGTGGCGACTGGGCGGCAAGGGGAACAATTTCCAGAAGGACTTCGACTTCTCATGGCAGCATGATGCGCGCATCATCCTCCACACCCGGGAGCGCATGGTGATGTCCTTTTTAGACAACGCGGCGGACGAGCTGAGCGAGAACAAGCCCGTCTCTTCCGCCATGATCGTCGAGTTGGACCTGGTCCACTTCGAGGCGAAGCTGCTGAACCAGTATCTGCGACCGGACGGCGACCTGACGCGACGTCGGGGCAGCACGCAACTCCTCTCCAACAACAACATGTTTGTGTCCTGGAGTGACTATGGGTACATCAGCGAGTTCGATCACGGCGGCCGCCTCCTGACCGAAGCCCGCTTCGCCAGCGACCGGTTCGGCAACTACCGCGCCTACAAATACCCCTGGTCGGCGTCACCCGCCGAGCCCCCGGTGATGGTCGCGTCGGTGGCCGGCATCAATGGCTCCGAGTTGTTGACCGAATTCCACGTGAGTTGGAACGGAGCGACCGAGGTGAAGTTCTGGCGGTTCTGGGCGCAGGGGGCCGCAGACGGGGAGAAGACGCTCATCGGCACTGTGGCCAAGACGGGCTTCGAGACCAGCTTCATCGCCCGCGGATACATGGATTGGGTGTCGGCAGAGGCTCTTGACGCCGGTCAAAACGGCTTGGGGTTCTCGAAAATGGTGCGCAGTAGTCCGCCCACCTACTGGGCCCCCGGAGCAGACCGGCCTCAGCCTGATGACCCCCAGGCGCTCCTCTTTCCTTCCCCACCTGAGAAGCAGAGCTGGTCACCCTCCTTCGTCGTCGTGGTGTTTGCCGCCGGGCTGGCGCTCAGTACCTTGGTCTGGCTGCTGCTTGCCTTGGTCCCGGTGGTGCGACATCGTCTAGTGGCTGGTTATAAGAAAGTGAACTCGATAGACTAATATTTATTACATGAGATGATTCAAGATCCTTCTAACAGAACGTATTTATTATACACGCGAGGACGCAT